TCCCAGTTGAAGAAATAAATTGGGGAAGCATTGGCAGGAACGGCAATTAAAGCCGTTAGATAACATCACCAGATCACCAGGGGAAGTGTATACTCAAGTGAGTAGCTCAAGTCCAGCATTCAATGACTTGCTGTTTCATTCCACTGAATTCATGGCTGGAGTTGCCCCAAAAGCAGTGGCAGGGAAGTTCCCACAAGGGAGGGCCCCAAACTCCCTTGGGGTTGCAAAGACAGAAGCACTAAAGGCCGGGGTGATCAGTCCAAAGCATTTGTATGTTAGGGGAACTTGCTAATAGAGTGCTGCAGCAACCCTTGCAACAGACAGCGAGGGAAAGGGGTGTGTGTCCACAGCGGGGGTTCCGGGCGTGGGGTTTGTATGAGGTTTCAGGAATTTGGCTTGGGGCTGGGGCCAGTTTCTTTCAGTGCTTTGGGCAATAATCTAGATACCTGGGAATGTTCAAGGCCCCAGTTTGGGTTCAAGCCTGCCAAGAAAAACCTGTAGCTGGCCAGGCTGCAGAGCAGTCAAGGCACTCTGATCTTCGGTCAGGACACAGAAAGAGCAAGGGGAAGTCGGGGACCCTGCAGTTGCTGATGTAAAGAATCACCTGCAGAGGAGGGTTAGGAGGATCCAGAGAAGTAGAGGAAATCCCGAAGGATGTGGTCCCCGAGGAGCCAAGGGCAGAGAACGTTTGAAAAACCAAGAGCCTGGCTGGCAGTGCCCAGTGCTCCCGGGAGGCCAGGAGAAGGAGGGCCAGGGTGTCCACTGGACTTGGCCACGTGGATCGATGCCCCTGGAGAGAGCCGTGTCGGCGGAGTCACAAGGGTGGGTCCAGATGGGGACGTGCGGAGGAGCACACAGGGCAGACAGCGTGTGCGGAGGTGAGGAGAGCAATGCAGACAATCTGGGGGTTGCCAAGACAGACAGGCAGAGCTAGGACAGGACGGGGAGGGAATGGGGGGAGACCTGGGCTTTTAAAGATGGCAGTGGGGGGGCCCGTTTGAAAGGACGAAGTTAAATGTACAGCATAGGAAAGAAAAAGGATCTTTGACAGTGGCTTTCCTGAAATGGGGTTGCGGGGAAAGCATAGGAGGATTAGGCTTTCGGTAGGTGAGGGGGCCCCTCCTGTACGAGGGAGGTGCACGGTGACAAGAAAGTAGCAGAGCTTAATGGACTTCAGCAGAATTAAAAGTACTGAAACTCTCTTCCTGTTAAATATGGTGTGGTTTGGCTTGTTAGATATCAGTGGACAAAATTCACCAGGTTTTACTGGATTTTGAACATAAAAAAAATCCATGGACACATGCTGGGGCGTCCTGGGCCGCGGCTCGGCGGGGCGGAGGCTCAGAGGCAGGAGGGGGGGGGAGCGGGGCTGAGGCTGTGCCGCCGCCCTGCAGACGTGGCCAACCGGGTGCTGCTGGCCCTGTTCACCATCGAGATGCTGATGAAGATGTACGGGCTGGGCCTGCGCCAGTACTTCATGTCCGTCTTCAACCGCTTCGACTGCTTCGTGGTGTGCAGCGGCCTCCTGGAGATCCTGCTGGTGGAGTCGGGCGCCATGACGCCGCTGGGCATCTCCGTGCTGCGCTGCATCCGCCTCCTGCGGATCTTCAAGATCACCAAGTGAGCTGGGTCTGGTCTGCGCCCATCTCGTCTGCCCTGCTCTGGCGTCTGCACGGTCCCCGTGCCGCCCCTGGCCCCGGACTTCCCTCCCTCCTCGAAACAACCTCCCTCTGCAGAAAAGAAGTCGCTCCCCTGTTTTGAACTCATTTCTCTAGTTTTTTCTCACCATTGTGTGCGGCAGGGCAGGGGAGAGGGAGCGGCGGGAAAGAGGAAGGAAGAGGAGAAAAGGGAAAACTGGCAGAAGCAGGGAGAGGAAGAGAAGCAGGGAGAGGGTGGAAGGGAGGAGGAGGAGGAGGAAAGGAAGAAGAGAGTTGCTGGGTGGTGCGGGAAAGCGAGGCGCTCGCTGACTTGCGGGCATTTATTGTGCACCAGTGTGGGCTGGGCGCCGTTCCAAGCACAGGCACACGGCGTGCCCGAGAGAGTGGTCCTTACGCTCACAGGGCTTCTCAGCTAGTGGTGGGGCCAGAAGCTAATCGATAGTCCCACTAACGAGCGTGAAGTGACAAACCGAGATAAGTGCTGTGACGGAGGGAGAGAGTGGCCACACGGCCTGAATCGCAGCCCCCAGCCTGAGCCCGCCCTCTCTCCCTCTGTGCCCCCAGTCCCAAGCCTTCCCCAGGCCCGCCCACACCTCAGGAGCACAGGTGAGAGGGGTCTGGCTCCTCCCCACCTGGTGGCCCCTCTCCCTTCAGATACTGGACGTCCTTGAGCAACCTGGTGGCCTCCCTGCTCAACTCCATCCGCTCCATCGCCTCCCTGCTGCTGCTGCTCTTCCTCTTCATCGTCATCTTCGCCCTCCTGGGCATGCAGCTGTTCGGGGGCAGGTACGATTTTGAGGACATGGAGGTGCGGCGCAGCAACTTCGACAACTTCCCCCAGGCCCTCATCAGCGTCTTCCAGGTAGGCCACGTGCCCTGCCCTCTGTGTGCTTGCCGAATCCTGCTTGTCCTTGAAGATCAAGGTGGGCATCACCTCCTCCAGGAAGCCTTCTCTGATCTGCTGGTTGAGTTCAATGTCCTTCTCCAGGCTTCCCATCACCTGTGCTTCTCTCCATTGTAACGCTTGCTTAGTTGACTCCTCCTCTGGAGCTGTACCCAGTTGGTCTGATTTGGTTTTGTCCCTGGTGCTTAGAGAGTCCTGGCCCACAGTGGGGTGACAGCGAATGTCTGGATTTGGGGTGGGCTGGGAGTTCATGGGTGTGTTTTCTCTCCCACGTGCTGCTCACATCTCAGGGCAAAGTCAGACAAGGGGCGCCTTCCCTCCCCGAGGCTGGACAAGCCCCAGAGAACGCAGACCAGGTCTCACTCCGGAGGCGTGGCTCAGCCACTCGCCAGAAGCCACCCAGGGGAGCGTGGCCGTGACTCAGTGGGAGGCCGCAGAGCCGCAGGCCTCCTGGAGGAGCTGTCCTAGTGCAGAGCATGGAGACGCTCCTCTCTGGGTAGCCAGTACCCCTCGAGTGACGCCGCCCTGCTGCGCCAGCGGGAGGGCAGTGTGTGAGCTTCAGTAGGTCCTGTGGGCGGCTTTGCCCTCTCTTTCCTCCTCTCACCTCACTGGATGGTCAGGCATCAGGCCCTCCAAGGGACTTGACCTTTCACACCACTTCTGGAGGCCGGAGCGGCAGGAGGCCTGGGTGGGTGCGGTAGGGTTAAGCCCCGGGATTGGGAACACGACAGGGGAGTGGTGAGCCCACAACCCAACCCCCTGGTCCTGGACGGCACCATAAGCTTTTGGACCCCTGGAAGAGGGGCGCTGAGGAGAGCAGGGTCACTGGCCCGTGCAATGAAGAGAGGGAGGTCCGGGAGAACCGCAGGGGTGGAAGAGGACTTTGCACGAGGCAGGCCCGACAGAAGACTCTGGGGCCCCCTGTGTCCCCGTGCTCTCGTCCCGCCTCTGCCCTAGGTCCTGACGGGTGAAGACTGGACCTCCATGATGTACAACGGGATCATGGCGTACGGCGGGCCGTCCTACCCTGGCGTGCTCGTGTGCATTTACTTCATCATCCTTTTCGTCTGCGGCAACTGTATCCCCTGGGAGCGGAGTGGGGACGAGAGCTTAGGGAGGGGGTGGGAAAAGGGCTTAGAGTGGGGGTGAAGGGTGCCCACTTTGTAGGCAGCCCGGCCCGCTGGCTGGAGGGGAGCTCCCAGGCTCATGGGGTCCGGGGATAGGGCACAGCAAGTGCAGGTACAGCTGTAGGATAATTCCTTCTGCCGAAACGGGTAGAGGACCACAGGGGCGATCGGTTACAGGTAGGAGGAGTTAATTCCAGCCAGATGGGTGAGCCTGGAGCAGGTAGGAGGAAGGCCTGCGCTTCCCTGAGGAGCAGTGAGACGGTGGGACAGCCCCGTGCAAAGGTTCAGGGGCAGCAAGCAGGAACCAGGACCTTGTGGCCAGGGGTGGACCGTCTGAGCACTGGGATTGGAAGGACTGAGCTAGGACAGGCGAGAGATGAGTTGAGCGGAGGGGAAGGAGAGGTGGGTAGGGCAGAGAGATGAGGTGCCTGAGAGGTCCTGGCGCCCACGCCATGGGATTTGGGATTATGGGTAGTGGGGAGGGAGGGCGCCATCGTCCCTCAAGCTCATGGGGGCCTGGCGCCGTTCTCTCCTGCTTTGCCTCCTTGGCCCCCCACGAAGGGGTAGGGTTAGTTCTGGGCAGGAAATCGATGGGATTCAAGGGCCACAGTGGATTCTGCCACAGGGCACCCTCTGCAGGCCGGTTTCCCTGAGGACGTGCGTCTGTGTCCCTGGACCCACCCATTCCTGTGGGGTTGCTCTGGCAAGGGGGACTCCAGCTACCCCACCACGGGAGCAGCTAGGCCCTGCCCCATGCAGGCAGGGGGACCCCTGCCCAAGGGCTTCCCTTCCAGCACAACGCAGGGCTCCTTAGCTGGACCCTCAGATATCCTGCTCAACGTCTTCCTGGCCATTGCCGTGGACAACCTGGCCGAGGCGGAGAGCCTGACTTCCGCCCAGAAGGCCAAGGCCGAGGAGAGAAAGCGCAGGAAGATGTCAAAGTGAGTGCGGTGCCACCAGCAGGCAGCGACCCCGAGTGCTCGGCTGGCTGTGGCCTCCCAGCTCTGGGAGGGGCCTCCCGGGGCCTCAGAACAGAGCCCCAACCCTGGGACGCCTGCCCCAGTGGGCAGACTTCTGCTACCTGCACGTGGGGACTGCTGACGGCCTCCGAGGGGTTTCTGCGGGCGGGGCTAGAGGCGAGCTGGCCTTCTGGACAGACTGGCCTCAGGACTGTGGGGTCAGAGCCGGGCAGGTGGGGCCAGGATCCCCGGGGAGGAGGCCTGGGAATTCTCCTCCCAGCCCTGCCACTGAGCCACTGTCCTTCTGCGGGGAGTCATTTCCCTTTGCTCAGGCAGCCCCTCCTGTGAAGCGGGGATTAACTTCCCAGCTTCTTCACAATTCTCATCTGTGATTTTGTCGTTTAACTCTTTGTAGCCTGGCACCCTCCCTGGGAGTGAAAGTAGACTTGTCTTCCAGACAGTGTTTCTCAAATTCTAACCACAAATGACTTCAGCTGGTCTGGGTCAGCTGGTCTGAGTCAGGTGGGGTGGGGTTGAAGGTCACATCTCACAAGCTCCCAGCTGGTGCCAAGGCTGCCGGTCGGAGGACCACGCTTTGAATAACCAGGCTCTAGACAGCGGCCTGCTTCTCCCACACCCATGGCTGCGGGAATGGGACACACGTCCCTGTGCAGGCAAGACGGGAAGAGACAGGGAAAGACAGACTAGCAAGGGAGTCCAGACATTTCCAAAGAACTGAAGCCGTCTTGCGCAAACCTGCAGCCCGTGAGTTCTGTATGAACCAGCACAGAGCCACGTTCCTCCCATTCACCATCAACAACCGTCAACCGTGGCTGACCAGGGAGCCACGCTCAGCCACAGGCCGGAGCTGTGCGTCATGCCCTCTGGTCACAGAGAAAGCACTTGCCCAGGCCTACCGCCCTTCCCATTTGGTGGAGGCCAACGCCACTCCTTCTTCCACAAGAGGAGCCCTGGTGTGGGACCCTCCTAAGAGCGATGTCGGGCTGAGCAGACCCCGAGAACTTTCGTGTTCAGCTTTCACCTTGGGTTTTCTTGGTTTTCCAACTCAGGGGTCTCCCAGATAAGTCAGAGGAGGAGAAGTCCATGATGGCCAAGAAGCTGGAGCAGAAACCCAAGGGTGAGGGCATCCCCACCACGGCCAAGGTGAGCACCTCCTGTGGGGGTTACAGGCAGGATGGGGGGCACTCTTAAAGTCCCCGTAGTTCCTGCCCCAGCACCCCGGGGTGCAGGTGGAGCAGGGTGGGAGGAAGGAGAGTGGTCCTGTGCCAGGCTGTCAGCCAGGTCCGGGCATCTCCCTGCATTCTGCTGGAGGGAGGCCGATGGGTACACCTCCTCCAGGAGTCACCCCAGTCTGGAGCCAGATTTCCTTAGAGTCTCAGCTTCCCACGCCAGAGCAAGAAGGTGTCTCCCCTCCTGACACCGGCTGTTCCACCGAGAGGCCCAGACTGGCTTCCACCATTCCTAGCCCTGTCCCGCTCACCCCAGCTGGGCTCTGCTCAGCATTCCTGAAGATGGGAAGTGGAGTTCAAAGGGTCAGGGAACTGGGCCCCAGAGGGACTGGGGTTCCTGGCCTAGGGTGCTCAACTCTCTTCTGGAGAACCAAGCAGGGGGTGCAGGGAAGACAGGCTCAGACAGGCCTGGGCTTGGGCAAGTTCTCGGGCCTTGCTGGGCCTGGCTTCTCATCTGTGAAATGGGGATGATCATAATATTCCCTGTCCCGCAGGCTGCAGGGTGATACGGTGAGCTGAAAGCCACACTGGCTTTCCAGTATATGCTCAATAAATGGAAACTGCATCTGTTTTTTCATCATTATGTTCCTCATGTTCCTTCCTGCAGCTGAAAATTGATGAGTTTGAATCTAACGTCAATGAGGTGAAGGATCCCTACCCCTCGGCTGACTTCCCAGGTGAGGGTCCTTGTGGCTGGGCTGGAGCAGGGTGCTAGGGCGGAGTGTGCTGGTGCTGAGTTCTTCCCATGGCTGTCTCTTGTATGTCCCCTACCTGGACCGCTCCATGCGGGGACAGGACACTGGAGACATCCCTTGCAAATAAGCCATCTGCCAGCCTGCCTTTCCCTGCAACACACAAATGCAAAAATCCACACATTTTATTTTCAAGTAATTAAGCAAGTATTTATTGAGTGCCAGCTCTGTGCTTTGGTGCTGAGGACTCGGTGTTCAAGAAGCACAGAGACTCGTGGAGACACAAGTCTCCCCTGCCGGTCCCGCAGAACGGACCACAAGTGCAGGCATGCCCCTCCATGTGGTGAGGGGGCAGAGCGCTCGCCATCCCATAAGCAGGATGGGGGCTGGACTGGGGCCCGGAGTGACACAGGGACAAATAGAGCCGTGACTGGCATTGTGGGAAAATCCAAAAGAAGAAGACAAGGGCGGGATGGGAGGGAGCATGGGTAAGACACAGCCGTGGATAAACTGCAAACATGTCGTAAGTGCAAATAGCCTGTGACTGCTGCAGAAATCCCACCCACCTGGACCCACGAGAGGACACAAGGAGGAAGCAGAACCAGGCTGCAATAATCTCACAAAGCCACCTGCAAGAGCCCTTGGACCCAAGAGCTCCGGGTTCTCTCAGCTCACACAGGGGTCTTTTGGAGCATTGGGTCACTGGGGCAATTCTACGTCTATCTGTGGGATCAGCTAATTAGCATCCATGTGCCCCAGTGACTCTAAGCTCCAAGGGGACTTTTTGTGTTCCACGTGGCACAGCATCTGGCACGGAGTAGGCACTCAGTAAATTGAATGAATGAATGAACGAATGCATGAAAAGATTTTGCCAAGTGTGGGGAGAATGGAGCTAGTGTAAGTAAATTGTCTTCAAACACCTACCAGAAATGAGTATTCGTGTGTTAGCACAATTCATGCTGAGCAGTTCCATCCACTAGCTGGGAGCGGCTGGTGTGCAGCACACGGGGGGCTGACGTGGGAAACCCGGGGTCAGGGAGAGGGAAGAGGCTGGAAAGAAACGAGGGGGAGAGGGCAGAGGGCACGAGGCTGGGCCGCTGGGAGAGCGGTCTTACCGAGGGGGGATGTGTTCATATCTGCTTCCTCCTGAAGATACTTTGCACTTGCTTACAAGAAGATATGCTCAATAACTTTAACAAAAGGGGCACAGAGGAAATAAGAATTAAGGGGGAGAAAGGATGCAAATATGTTAACTCTAAGAACTAACAGTCACGATTAAGCATAAATGTGTCTCTGGGGTGCGTGGCAGGCTGGGCCAGCCAGGGAGTGTCATGTTAGGACATAGGACGCTCATTCTGAGGATGAAGAAAGAGTTCTCGCTTCTCGGGGGAGCAGGAGGGTTGGACTGTGATTCGGGTGGATTCGAGAACCCCTGGGTGATGGTTCACGATGAGCACCACGGTGGAGTGAGTGGAAGCCAGTAGCTTTTGGCTTCTCTGAGGGCCTCTGCGGGGGGCCGGCAAGGGCAGGGCGGCGGCAGCTGTCAGGGGAGGGAACCAAGAGGAGCCCCAACTTTAGCCAGTGCCCCCAGTCTGATCACTGAATTCTCCCACCCTGGAGCAGAGGACTTTGGGTACTCAGCCCCTTGTGAGGCCATGAGACCAGTGAGTGTGTGTGGGGTGTGTCTCTTCTCCCCCACCCCAACTCCTGCACCTGCCACAGGCCCAGAGACTGGCTAAAGCTCAGGAGTATCCGCTGCTTTTTTCCCACGCTGGCAGTTTCTGTCTGAAATGATCATCTTCAGAATCTTGCCCAGGAGAGGACCTCAGAGTCCATTTATTTCAACAGCCCTCCCGCCCCTCATCAGTTTCACAGCTTGGGAAGCTGAAGCTCAGGAAGGGCCCCGACGTGCCTAGCACTGCCCAGCACGGTGGGGCGGAGCCAGGACCGCAAGCAGCCTCCCCGTCCACCCCAGCCGCAGCCTGTGAGTGGTTGAGGCAGTGCAGATCCAGCCTTGACACAGGAGATGCACCTGCAGGGCTCCTTTGGCCTGCTCCTAGCCCTGCTTCTGGAAGATTCTGGGCCTGCCTCAACTACCCCTGAGAGCTCAAACCCGCTCACTGCAGAGAAGGGGAGATGCGGGGGCTAGAATGCTAATGCCCTGCTGCCCCACATTGGCTTGGCACCGCCTTCGCTTGCTGGCAGCAGAGGCTCCCAGGAGGGCTCTGAGCACGGAAGCCAGGAATGTAGCAAATTATGGGAAGACCCCCCTCATATCTCCCCGTCTCCCCACAGGGGACGACGAGGAAGATGAGCCTGAGATCCCAGTGAGCCCCCGACCGCGCCCGCTGGCCGAGCTGCAGCTGAAAGAGAAGGCGGTGCCCATTCCAGAGGCCAGCTCCTTCTTCATCTTCAGCCCCACCAACAAGTGGGTGGTCCCCTGGCTGCTGTGTGGGGTCACTGCTGAAGCTTGGAGAGATCCGCTTCCCTGCCCTCAAGAGACCTCTTTCTAATCCCCCGTGCCCTAAATTACACTGGGAGAAACTCCTTTCAGCTTCAGACCTTGTGCCCTGTCTAAAGTGCCGGCGTCTCTGCGAGAAGTCATGCTTTAAACCTCATCGGTTACTCACACCTCAGAGGGACCTTGTTTTAGGGCAAGGGGATGAGAGCAGTGAAAGCCATAGTATTTACCGGCTGCATCATTGTATACCTTTAAAATATGCACAGACTCTAGTCTTCGTGGAGTTTCATCTGTCCGCCTCCCGGATGGAGATCAGCCTGTCCCGTTCTTTTGGGGGGAAACCTCAGGGGGGCGGTGCATTGGGGGAGGGGCAGGAGGTGGGAGGGGCTCGGTTGAGAGATGGGACCTCAGAACGAGGGGGGCAAGGTCCCCTGCACGTCCAGCCAGAGGGCCCTGCAGATGCAAGGCTGTACTTCTCCACTGACCTGGGGGCGGGCAGGCTGGGGGCATCCAGGGTCCCTCTGCAGGACAGAGGCTGCTGCGGCCTGAGCATCCAGCCGCTCACAGCTCTCCCGCCCACCACCCTGCCCCACCAGGCTCCGCGTCCTGTGTCACCGCATCGTCAACGCCACCTGGTTCACCAACTTCATCCTGCTCTTCATCCTGCTCAGCAGTGCCGCCCTGGCTGCCGAGGACCCCATCCGGGCGGAGTCCATGAGGAATCAGGTGATGGCAACCCTGTCCCCTCTGCTGTTCAGCACCCCTGGCCCCCTCCAGCCTCAGCCACCCCCACACCTCACTCTGGCACCCAGAGTTCAGCTGTACCCTCCATGTGGCTGTAAGCAGGAGAGTTTCTTGGAGTTTAATTCCCTGGGGCCAGGACTGCCCACTCAGCAGGGGGCGCAGACAGGCACCTGCTGCCTGCTGTTGGTGATGGTGATGACAACGATGACAAGGGTGACACCGCTGCCCCCCTCCTCCTCTCACTGGCCGCTCCCTTCCCTGCCCCATCCCCAGATCCTCAAGTACTTTGACATTGGGTTCACCTCTGTCTTCACCGTGGAGATCGTCCTCAAGGTGAGCGGAGGCTGTGGGACAGCCCTGACGCGGGGCTTCCCTGGCGTGGCTGCAGCTTGCACACACTGAGCTCACTCGGGGCGGGGGCGGGGGGGGGTGGACGGCGGCAGGACAGACTCACGGGGCCCAGGAGACTGGACAGGGTTTCGGCTCATCGGCTGGAGAGAGCAGGCCCGTGGTGTGCAGGTGGCAGCTGGCGAGGGAGGCAGGACAGACTTGCCCCTCTCAGCTGGGAACAGCCCATGTCTGTGACACCTCCGGCATTTTTCTTCCACATGGAAGGCACAGTGGGCTTCAGAGAAGCCCTGGGAGCTACGGTTTGTTCCCAGACGTCTGTTACCCGTGACCGGAAAGGCCTTCCACTCCAGGAGTCCCCAGAGAAGTGCCACTGCCCTGAGCCGGCAGCTCTGCCCGTTCTCAATGTGGACACACTGGGTTCGGGCCATCATGGGGCCATGGGCTCTGGCGGGCAGAGGGAAGACCCCTCTGTGACTGAAACCCGGTAGCCCCAGCCTACATGTCCACAAGGAGAGGAGAGGGTGGCCGAGCCCAAGAACAGGCCCAGGGAGGCTGCCGTATGAAATCAAGACAGTCCCTTAATTCAGGGCCTCGGCTATTGAAGGGGCTGAGCAGAGGGACATGGTGGCTTCCCCGAGGTCCAGGAGGACTTTGTGGAGTCAGAGGCATTAGAGCCAGACCTTGAAGTTGGACAGGACTCCACAGGGGAGAGGTAGCCGGGGCAGTCTAGGGGGACAGGCAGTAGCAAATGCATTGTAGGGAGATTTGAGGACACCGTCAGGAGAGAGAAGGCGGCCCTTTGGGCTGGACACTTTGCACATACGGGGCGTGGGGCCTGGGTGCTGGGGCTGGGAAGGCAGATGGAGGCGAAATCACACAGGGCCCTGAATGCCAGGAAAGGCTTCCACGCCGCGAACTGTAAAGGCTTGGTGTGCCTATGCAAAGGGCTTGGGAGATTATTAGAGAATATTCCAAAGACACTGAGAGGTGAGCGAGCAGGCGGGCGGCTGGGAGGGAGATGCAAGGGCGGGGAGGGGCTGGGGCCTGGCGAGGTCTGGCGTCCTGGAGGAGTCGTTCAGCCGGACTCGGCAAGCCCTAGGCAGAGGGCACTTCCCAAGAAGCTTTCCAGGGAGGAGGAATTTTGTCCTGTCCCACAGGACAGAGGGGGCTCTGTGGCTGCGTGGGGAAGAGACCCAGGGCCCCCAGTGGTGTGTGCAGAAAGAGACTTGCATTCTGAGAGTGAAGCCTGGCCCCGCACCCGCGAGAAGTCCCCCTGCTTCAGCGACCGTGAGCAGAGCGGAGAAATGCATTCAGGCCACAGCAAGGAGTTGAGCGAAGGACCGAGGAAGCTTCAGGCAGGCTGCTTGCCTAGATACGCGCTCTTCCTGCGCAGACCGGGGCGAGAAGCCTTCGTTTGTGGGGGACAGGCCTGTTCCCTGAGCCCCTCCCCACCCAGGATGCTGCCTCTGTCTCCCCAGATGACGACCTACGGGGCCTTCCTGCACAAGGGCTCCTTCTGCCGCAGCTACTTCAACATGCTGGACCTGCTGGTGGTGGCCGTGTCCCTCATCTCCATGGGACTTGAGTAAGCAGTGCCGGGGCTGCAGAGTGAGGATCCCACCTGCTCTGGTTGGGGGGCACCGTGCCGCAAGAGGAGGGTCTCTTGGGACCACTGATGGGGGTGGGGAGATCCCTGGGTTGTCACCAGCTGGAATGCAGTGACATGCAGAGTGGGCAGGGCCCTGTCCTGGAGACTGGCAGGGATGCAGAGAGGTGGAGGCGGTCCCCCCACCCCGTGGGCAGCACACTCCCTGTCTTCAGGTCGCTCCTTGTCTGATGGGAGAGGTAGAGCCTCAAGCCACACATGGAAGCCCACGTCCTATTGCACAAGACAGTGACAAGCTCCAGCCCAGCTGGCAAGCGGTGGCTTTACCTGGGGCAGAGCTCACGCGCACAGCTGCGGAAAGGGGCCGGGAAAGGCCGCCGGTGTTGAGAGCAGGTGGCAGGACGGCGGGTCCATGGCAGGTCTGTCTGGCTGGGGCAGGCTGCCCTCAGCCCCGCACCTCTGCCGCCTCCCCCAGGTCCAGCGCCATCTCCGTGGTGAAGATTCTGAGGGTGCTGAGGGTGCTGCGACCCCTCCGAGCCATCAACAGAGCCAAGGGGCTGAAGGTGAGAGGGGGCCTGGGCAGGAGCCCCCGGAGAGGGAAGAGAGGGGCTGGCGGGGCCTGACTACAGCCTTTGCTGGGCACCTGTCCCCTCTCCTTGGCCAAACAGCGGGTAGAAATGGGGCTGGGGCAGCGGTGCTTCCCCACCAGCCTCTCTCTGCCTTCGACTCCCTGGGAGGCAGCAAGTCTTGCACGTCTGGGGGTTCCCTCGGCTGGGCTCGTGGGGATGCGGCTGGTGCACACCCAGCCCCCATCGGCCCCTCTGCCCCCAGCACGTGGTGCAGTGCATGTTCGTGGCCATCAGCACCATCGGGAACATCGTGCTGGTCACCACCCTGCTGCAGTTCATGTTCGCTTGCATCGGCGTGCAGCTCTTCAAGGTGAGGCCCCACCTGCTCCAGCAGCCTCCCCGCTTCCCCAGCCCTGTGCCAGCTCTCAAGCCAAGGCGAGAGCCAGTCGATTTCTCCTTCTCCAAGCAAAAAGAACCCCCAAACTGTAAAAACAGAGGTTCTTGAATGCATGGAATTTTGAGGCTAAAATATGGCTAACCCAGATCTGGTTTCTTAGGTAACACCGTCCGTGGCCACTTTGGCTCTGTTGGCCACCATTGCTATCATATCTGCTCTCTTCCTGCCCCTCCACGGCTTCTCCTTGGGGACGAAGTCCCCTCCTCCCGCAGGCCCTGCAGTCACCCCTCCCCTTACCACCTCGCCCACTTCCTCCTGTCCCGCCAGGCCTGTCTGAAACACACACCCACCCCAGCCCCTCCACCTCCGCCTCCTTCCGTGCACCTGGCTCCTGCAGCCCAGGTTCCGGCTGGCATGCCTGACATCATCATGCCTATCAGGACCCTCTAAGGGTGGGAGTCCATCCTGTCACTTCTGGAGCCAACCTTATCTGTTCTCACTTTCCTGGGAGAACACAGCTGCTCGTTTTTTCTCTAGGACTCAGCCCTACAAAGGTGTCCCCTCCCACAGAGCTCTGATTTCCAGATGCCTCTGGCTCCCAGATCATTTTCAGGATGCAGAAACTGATACTCGAGTGGACCCCTGACACCCTTGATACACACATGCTCCTGCCACCAAATCATGAGCACTTAAAGTCATAATGATACAACCTCAGTCAGTCTTAGACATGCAATGGCATCAAATCATTCATTCATTCAACAAACACATATGGGACATTTTCTCCATACATGGGCCAGGGCCTATGCTAGGGCTGAGGAGGTCACAAGCCAAACCCTCCCTGAGGGAACAGGTTTTGGGGGAAGCAGTCAGGGTGGGGCTCCCTGAGGACCTTCGGGGGACAGATCCTGTTGGTCACTGTCCTTGAGGGGCGGGAGTGCTCACAGTGGTCTGGCCACTCTGCCAGCTGCATGTGACCTTCTCCTCCTGGCCCAGCTGAGGGCTGTCCTCGCCCCACCCCCCAGCCTGCTCCTCTGCCAGGCTTGAGTCCCTGGAAACCCTCTGAGGGCAGAGTCTGTCTCTGCCGCGTCCGTAGCCTGGCACTCAGCCCGGGGCCTGGTACCCAGGAGGCCTCCAGACGCGCTCCCTGAAGGAATGAATGAGGGGCTGCCCTTCCTTCAGCTCCACGTCCCTGCCGGCGAGAGCCATTGCCTTTCAGCACCCCGACCCCTCTGGGCTTTGGTCTCTCCTCAGAAGACCCCCCGTTCCTGCCTACCCAGGTCACAGGAACACATCAGCCACGATGGCAATTTTTACATCACGTTTCACTCTGTGCAAACTTGTCACTTGCGTTTCGCGTTCTATCACAGAGTCTCGCTTTGCTTCCCATATGAAATCAGGTGTTTGGCGCCACGTGCCCGCCCTGCCCCGCGCCGGCCGTGGCCACTCGCTGCTTCTCCCTGGTGTTGCCACCTCACCTCACCTGCTGCTCCCGCGGCCACACAAAGGGGGTGTGTAGGAACAGCACAAACCCGTGTGAGGGAGGGGGTGGGGGGGAGGGACAGCTGTGCCTTCAGCTGGTCCTGTGTCCCAGGCCTAGGGCAGTTTCCCTCTCAGCCTTAAAGGAACTGGACCAGAAGCCACGGAGTTCAAGCCTATTTTAGCCACATTAAGACCTAGCAATCAAGTCCTTCTGTGCAAACAAAATCTCAGGTGCCCGACGTGTGGCATAGATAGAAGGAGAAAGTGCTCTGGCTGCAGTCAGTCCAGGGGGGCACAGAGCCCCCTGCTCAGGCCTTGGGGTGGGGCGTGCTGGGACCCCCGCTCAACTCCGAGACAAGTCGGGTCTCCAGGGCTCAGCTGGGCTCCACCTCTGCAGCCCCGAGGGCCACGCCGCTGGCGGGAGGAGGAAGGGGGGAGGTGGGCCACCCTCTTGCTTGTCACGGGGAGCCCTGCAAAGGCCTCCTGGAGTAGCGGGGCGCTGGGGGGCTCAGAGGCACAGGCCTGAGGGAGGGGCAGGGCCAAGCTGTGTTCGTACCTCCAGCCCCTCAGCCCAGCCCAGGGTGCCCAGCAAATGCCCACCTCAGACACTGCATGCTCAGCCTTGGCAGCACCTCGGCCGGGGGACCCTGGGGAGCTGTGGGAACGGATGATGGTGAAGGAGGAGGACTATCGGGGGCCCTGCCCCGAGGAGGAGGCCACCTCTCTGGCAGGAAGAGACAGGCTCCTCCTTCCAGACGCCCTACCTTCCCTCTGCCTCCACCGTTCACTTCCATGGCCCACTTTTCTATCCTGTTTCCATGACAACGTGTCTCCCTCCCCCCTCCTGGATGCAGGGGAAGTTCTACAGCTGCACCGACTTGTCCAAGATGACGGAGGAGGAGTGCAGGTACACCGTGCTCTGCTGGCCGAGGGTGCACGGTGGCAGGGTCGCCGGGCAGGGGCCCTTCAGGCTGGGAACCGGGGACCCCGAGCCATGAGGCACAGGAGGGGCATTCACAGAAACCCCTTGCCTGGGGCTTGCCCCCCAGTGTGCCCTCTGGTCCCAGAGCTGGCCCTTCCTTTCTCCTGCACACTCACCACCCGGGGCCCAGAGGCAGCCCAGCCACGCCCTGCGGAGTGACTGGGCCTCCCTTCCTCAGGGGCCACTACTACGTGTACAAGGATGGGGACCCCACGCAGGTGGAGCTGCGTCGCCGCGAATGGGTGCACAGCGATTTCCACTTCGACAATGTGCTCTCAGCCATGATGTCCCTCTTCACCGTCTCCACCTTTGAGGGATGGCCTCAGTGAGTGAGGGCTGGGCCCGAGACCCACGCGGCGCGGTCAGGGTGGTACCAGGGAGCCAGCTGGCCCTTCCGCAGGCCTGGGACGGATGATGCTCGGCAAACCGCACCGACTCTCGGAGGGCTTGTAGGACCAGGGTGCCGACTGGTCACCCCAAAGCAGTCCTGACCGGGGTGCTCTGGCAGACGTACCCAGTCGCCCCAGAGGCATCTGCCTCTCTGCCCGCAAGGGGGCGCTCTGATTGATTAGGGACAGGTGGGGCACCCAGTGGAAAGGCAGAGCCACTGCAGGACCAGGTCTGGCTTTCCCTGCGTGACTGCTCAGAAAGCTCTCCGGCCTACCCATCGCCAGTGGGTAGAGCCCACCCTTCCTGTCCTGGCTCTGCCGCATCGCCCCAGCCCAGCCCACCCTCCCTTCTCTGCACCCCCCAAGGCTGCTGTACAAGGCCATAGACTCCCACAAGGAGGACGTGGGCCCCGTCTACAACAACCGAGTAGAGATGGCCATCTTCTTCGTCATCTACATCATCCTCATTGCCTTCTTCATGATGAACATCTTTGTGGGCTTCGTCATCGTCACCTTCCAGGAGCAGGGGGAGACCGAGTACAAGAACTGCGAGCTCAACAAGAACCAGGTGCCTGGGCCGCCTGCTCGAGAGGGAGGGCGGAGCCCCAGCCCCAGGTCTGGCCAGGAAAGCGCGTCCTGGCGTGACCGCAGAACCAGCATTTGATGCCGAGCCCCAGCCTCCATGCACCCCACCCCTCCTCCAACCCGCTCAGTACAAGTTGGCGGAGTCGGGGGTCTTCTCATGGAACCCCCGCGTACCCAGAGAAAGGAAGCCCTTCGTGCTCCTGGGCTGGTTGGAGCCATGGTGGGAATGCACGGTGATCGCTAAAAGGGAACCCAAGGGCCCAAATGGATCCTTCCCCTAAATAGTACAGAGTCCCTCAGCCACCAGCTCCTGGCCACGGCTGCTCCCGACTCACCCAGAACGCGGGTCCCTCAAGCCCACGGACGTGGGTGTGGAGGGGCCTCTTGGTGCTGACCTGCCCCGTGGTGTGTGTGGCAGCGCCAGTGTGTGCAGTACGCCCTGAAGGCCCGGCCGCTGAGGTGCTACATCCCCAAAAACCCATGCCAGTACCAGGTGTGGTACGTCGTCACCTCCTCCTACTTTGAATACCTGATGTTCGCGCTCATCATGCTCAACACCATCTGCCTGGGCATGCAGGTAAGGGCCCTCTGGGGACGAGCATCCAATCAGACCGGGGCCTGGGGGGCAGGGTGAGCAGGGCAGGGTCCCCGGTTCCCCCAGCAGACGTTCCCTGTGCACCGCCTGGGGAGGTGAGAGAAGCGGAGCCAGGCCTTGTCACCGGGCACTTGTGCTTTATCACAGAGAGAGTTTAAGCGTACGAATAGCATCGTAGTTCTGCGAACAGGAGATGACAGCCGCTGAAGGAGGAAGTGTAGGAAGTAGAAAGTGTTTGCTCTGTTTCTTCTACCGCTACAAATCTGGATGGTTGAGTTGGCTGCAATCTTGGCTCTGGTCTCGAGAAAAATGGGTTTAGTATTCACAGAACAGGTGTCTCAGGAGCTGAGCACCCTTTTTAGACTATCATAATCAGCATCATTATCAAGTCTTAATTAAGCATCTGATCCCGTAAGCCCTGTATAAATAGCATTGCGCGATTAGGCTCCCGGCCCCTGGAGCCCAAGACACACCCAACGATCAGACCACACATTGCCAGGCAGGAGGACACGGAGAGAGAATCTCTGAGCCGGCAGGCCCAGGTCGCACCGAGGATCGTGAGCAATGGCCGTGTTTGGGGCCGGGTCAGGCAGCGTAATAGGGCGATCCTGCCACGTCGGTGGGGTCGGCCGTCAGATCCTTCTGAACCACCCAGGAAGGTTTTGTGAAAGAGGTGGGCTTGCATTAACTTTCTAAACAAAGGGTGAGAGCTTCCCGGGGAAATTTACAAGGAAATAGGTTTCATAAGGGCCGTAGTGGTGGGTCAAGGTTATTTCTTTTAACTGTCTCACCATCCTTGGAGGAGCGTGCAGACATGGTAAGCTTGGTGGGCTCAGTTTCCTACCAGGAGCCAGTGATAGACCAACTGTGGAGGGTCCGGTGCCCAAATGACTAGGTGGAACCTGTCGTGGAGCCCTGACTGGCGGACCTCCCGTCCCGGTCATCCCGGAACAGACGTGTAACTGAGCTCTGGCCTTGCAGCCCCGCATGTAAATAGACACGCTGGGCAGCACTTGGAATTGGAGGTCCCCGCCCCTCCTTGCATTACCTCTTTTGTGGTGGTGATGGTGGGGGGTGTCGTCCATAAGATTCGGCGGAATTCAGGGGATGGCTAAAGCGGGCTCCTAGCCCTCTGAGCTAAAACAAAATGGGCAGGGGACCCAAGGAAGTGCTGGGAGCATCCCAGGAAGAGGAGGGGGCTCTGGGAATGCAGTCTGCAGGATGGACAAGCCCGCCTCTCCTGTGTCCCCTCCACAGCACTACAACCAGTCAGAGGAGATGAACCACATCTCAGACATCCTCAACGTGGCCTTCACCATCATCTTCACCCTGGAGATGATCCTCAAGCTCATGGCCTTCAAGGCCAGGGTGAGTGCTGGGGCCACAAGGCCAGATGAGCCGCCGGCGCCTGGGGGGTGGTTCTGCTCATGGAACACCCGCCACATCCCCTCCTCCTACCAAAGGCCCTTCGCCCGGCACTTCTGCTCCCAGCTGCTCACCACCTTCAGGTACAGGGCAGGCACAATTTCAGGTGTCTGGAATTGACCCACAATAGAAAGAGGCTGGACACCTCTTCCCTGCCCCTCCTTTGAGCCTGTCTGACATCCCGCCTTCCCTTAGCCGCTGAAGAGCAGGCCCAGCGCCAGCGGGAGTATCTTGCCCTGTTTCTTTGCTTCCCAAGTCTACACCTGCAGTTCCAGCCCTGTCGGTTCTGCACTGTCAAGCCCCAGCCAGGACGTTAAGTGGGGTTCAGGGGATGAGAGCGTTCTCCATCTGGACCAGGGGTTCCCAACAAGTCCCCCCTCCCTCCTGCCATGTCCTGCCCTTGAGGAAGGGAAGTAAAGAGCGAAGGGGAGAGGAGTGTCAGGTGGGGCCACTGCCGCCCCTGTGGGAAGTGAGTCAGGACGCCCCACCTTGGCCTGACCCAGCAGCTCTGCGCTGCCTCGGGCGACAACCACCCTCTGCTGGCGGCCGGAGCGCCTTCCTCCCCATGCTCACCCCCAGCTCTGCCTTCCCAGGGCTACTTTGGAGACCCCTGGAATGTGTTTGACTTTCTGATTGTCATCGGCAGCATCATCGACGTCATCCTCAGCGAGATTGACGTGAGTATCAGGCCGGCAGAGCCATCATCACTGGGGTGGGGCCGGGGGCACTTGTTCTGTCCACAGACAGGCGTGGGTGCCCACTGTGGGGACACATGGCACCCTGGGGGTTACAAATACAGAAATGACAAGTCACGGTTTCTGCCCCGAAGGAGTTACAGTCCTGCAGGGCAGAGAGATAACTCAGACGCCAGGTGGACACAATGAGTGTGCCAGACTGTCAAAGGCAAATGCTGTCGTGGAAAGGAGAGGGGTGGGGTGGTCAGGGAAGGCTTCCTGGAGGTGGTGACTGGAGCTGAAAAGGCGAGCAGGCACCTCGGGCAGGGTTATGTAGCAGGGGTGCAGAGCAGGAAGTGCAGCGCAGGCTCAGGGGTGCTGGGTGGTCGAGCTTATCAGAAGCATGTGAACAAGCAGAGGAGAGAGGGGGACAGTGAGGCTGGAGAGGTCAGGCGGGGAGGTGGCTTAAACTTTACATAGCAGGCAGTGGGAAGTCACCAAAGGTTTTTAAACAGAGCAGGATTAGAGCGCTGCTTCTGGAAAGGTAATCTGGAGGGGAGGGGCAGGAGGTGAGAATAACTAAAAGTAGGGGCCCCGTTAGGGAGTCGGTTGTTCATTCATTCCTCAAATGCTTACTGAGTACCTCCCACGTGCCAGGTATGATTTTTGGTGCTAGAGATATGGCAGAGAACAAAATCGTGGGGGAAACAGACAATAAATCTGTAACACGACAGGTATGACCAATATGTATCACGAAGGAAAATAAAGGCAGTTAAGGGCTTAGAGTGGGAGGGAATGGGAGGGTGGTTTCCAGGTGCCATCGGAGCAGAGATCTGAGCACAGCAAGCCAGGGAGCCACGCAGGTATGGGGGTCGGAGTGTTGTTGGGACAGAGAAGAGCGAGTGCAAAGGCCCTGGGGTGGGGTGGAGGGTGTTGGCTGAGTTTGAGGAACAGCAGGAGGCCCTCGGAGCTGGAGCAGAGAGTGGTGGAGAGGAGGCGAGAGAGAGAAGGAAGGAGTCAGATTATCTAGTCCCTTGAAGGCCACGGTTATGATCTTGGGCTTTATTCTAAGAGAGACAAGAGCCCTTTGGAGGGTTTAAATGTGGTCTGACTTTAGTTCTAGAAGAATCACTCTGACTGTTGTGTTGAGAACAAGGTGTAGGGGACACGAGGGCTGACCCGGGAGAGCAGTCAGCAGATCACTGCAGGATTGCGAAGGGGAGGTGACGGGGCTGGGGCTGCCGTGGAGGCTGTGAGGAGTGGTCGAAGGCAAATGGCCCCAGGAGCTAGACCATGATGGCCCACGGAGGGGCTGAGGCCCCGGCGGCGGTGGAGAAACAGCAGCAGGGTCTACACTGCGGGTTGGGGGATGGAGGGCAAGGAGGAGATTCCAGCCAGAGAGGTCCGCATTCCAGATCTCAGAAGTCAAAGCCTCTGGAGGTGGCCTTGCTGAGGATCTGAGGCTGAGGGTCACCGCAGAGGGAAGAGGCAGCAGGACACGGGATGGAGGAGGTCCAAGAGTGGAGTTGACGCCCTGGGGCTGGGAGGGAGGGGGTGGAGCAGAGGGGCATTCATCTTTCTCAGCCATGCTAACCGTGGCCACGGCGGGATTCTACCCAAGGGGCGGCAGACTTGGCCATGGGGACAAGTAGGGGCCCTGTAGGGGACTCGTCCACGTGTAGGGCTTCCCTCTGGACTCCCCACTGCTCAATGGAAAGCCCTTCAGGCCGTGGGGTGACCCCTACGGTGAGAGGGGTGGAGTAGGAAGGAGCAGCCCTGGAGCTGCCGCAGGGGGCGGGTGAGGGGAGTAGCTGGGGAAGAGTCTGGGGTCTGTGAGGAAGGAGCCCTGGGCTGAGGCCCCTGTAAGGCTGAGCCCTGGCAGGGAGTGGCACCTTCTGGGGACTTGGCTGCCTCACCGGCTGTCTGGTGTGCGAGGAGGGGAGGGCCCGGGTGGGCACCCTGCTCACTCCCCACGCACAGAGCAGACAGTGACAGACAGAGCTCCATCTGCCAGGTCCCTGACGGGGTGGGGCTGACGAGGGGCAGGGGGTGCTCTGGGCAAGACCAGTGCGTGTGCGTGTGTGTGCACGTGTGTGTGCGTGCGTGCGTTGTACATTTCCACCCACGCTCAGTTTTTGCTGGGAGATACATCCCAAAGCACCCCGTGGTTTGAGAGCAGCTTCTCACAGCACAGTCAGAGGAGACTGTAAACAGGCAAAGTAAACAGCCCAAACTGAAAGAGGTTACTTGGTGAAGTGTGAGGTCTGCGCTGGGGAGGCCTGGATAAATCAACACAGTTTCTCTGGTGGCGGAGAACGGGAGCGTGTCATCGGTCCTTATTTGGTTTTTAGGCACAGCAGGTGTCCTTACCAGTGATGTTTGCTTGAAGTCACACAAGATTGGTTTACATTCCTAACATACAAACCGCGCAAGGTCTAGGGGAGCGTGTCCGTTAGAACTTTCTGCAGCAGTAGAAATGTCCTGCCCTGTCCAATACAGTGGCCACCAGCCATACGTGTCTATTGGTCACTTGAAATGTGGCTAGTGGAACCGAGGAACTGAATTTCTAATTTTATTTATTTTTCATTGTAATTCAAACAGCCACATGTGGCTATTGGCTACCATATTGGACAACACGGGGCTGGAACACTGGTTGTCATCCTTGGCTACATCTGAGAATTGTCTGGGGAGCATTTAAACCTCTGCAACCAGGCCCCATCCCCTAAAAGCTGACTTCATTGGCCTGTGTGGGGACCCAGCGAAGATAAATATATTTCTTAAGTTCTGCATGTGGTTCTGATATGCAGCCAGGGTTGAGAACCAGCTGTCCAGGGAGAAGCTGCCCAAGAGAGTATTGCTTGATGGGAACCAGCACGCTGGGGATCAGGCTACCTGCAGATAGTCGGAAGATAAAAGGATGACTCCTTTGACCCAGGGCTTCGTAACAATGGCTTCTCATGAAATGTGGCCTAAGGAAGAAGCTTGAAACAAACAGAGAAAAGCTGCCCCCACACACCCAACCACCTGCCCTTCAAGAGCCTGGTCACTGGGATACAAGCCTTGGTCCCCATCCTGGTCCCGTGGCAGAGAATCTTCTGCCAGGGGATCTCAGACGCCCCCAGACGAGCCCTGCCCCGGAAGATGGGACTTCCGTGAGGATGCCGCCCCAGCTTCGGGGGAAAGGGGTGTGAATCCACTTGCAACAATGAGCAGGTGTTTTCCAATGTGCCCTCATCGGGGACATCCCCAGCGTCACGTACCCAGAAACGCAGGAAGACCCCAAGCCCTTGTCACCTGTAGACACCTGTGGGAGAAGAGAAGGGACCCGTCTGTGTCCGGTCTTCCCTCCCCGTCTTGCTCCCTCGCCCAGCCTCCTGCCTCACGTCCCACAGAGCTGCACCCTCACGCCCACCCGCCCCGATTGACAGCCCCGTGGGATCCCCACCCCCCGCCTCTCTCTTTCTCTCTTTAACTCTCCTGCGTGTCTGTCCTTTCTGACTCATCTCTTCACCTCCCTCCCATGTGTCCCTCCTCCTCTCTCTCCTCTCCTCCCCCTGCCCTCGTCTCTTTTCTCCACAGACTTTCCTGGCCTCCAGCGGGGGACTGTATTGCCTGGGTGGAGGCTGCGGGAACGTTGTAATTCCAGGCTGCATGGGCCTGCCCAGCACGCCCGCCAGCTCCTGCCCTGCACTTGCATGCCCAGGCCTGGCTGCGTGCACTGCATGGGGTGATCGGCGCTCAGGGCTCCCTCCCCGGAGCAGGCCCCACAAGGGTCCGGGCGTAGGGCGGGGCAGGGGCTCAATGGACGGCTGTGCATGGCCATCGTGGCTTCCTCACAGCCCTGGGAAGTGGAGTGAGGGTTCACTCCGGCCCTCTATGCAAATGGCATCACAGTCCAAAGAGCACTGTGATTGCTGGCAAAGGACCTTAGTGGCAGTTCGTCGGGCACAAGGCCTTTGGGGACGCAGGGAGCAGAGCAGGGAGGGCTCTCACCTTCAGGAGTAGCTCGCGTGTAAGGCTGGCACGAGCGCAGAGGCTTGCCTGGCTGAGGACAGCCTGTGCTGCGCGGGAGTGACGGCGAGCCGCCATGCCGGACTTACGGCAATAGAGCTGCCAAGCTTCGGGGACCCTTGCACTGGGAGGACACGAGGGCGGGGAGCCCAGATGGGCCACCAGGGTCCTCAGCTCAGTGGCAGCTTGAGGAGAAAATGGGATGAGCAGGAGGCCCCAGAGGGCAGCAGTGGGCCTGGGCTCACCAGGCTGCTCGGGCCACACACCCTCCTCCCGCCTCCCGGCTCAGCAGCCCCGGAGGAGGTCCCCATCTGGTGGGCAACGGGCCAGGAGTGGGGCTGGAACTCCTCCCACCATGAACTTCACCCCGACACACACACATCGCACCTCCCACCACCCTGCCCCTTGCCCCGTGAGGAGCCAACCCCAGACTGACCTCTGGGGCTGCCGCCCCGCAGGACCCGGACGAGAGCGCCCGCATCTCCAGCGCCTTCTTCCGCCTGTTCCGAGTCTTGAGGCTGATCAAGCTGCTGAGCCGGGCAGAGGGGGTGCGCACCCTGCTGTGGACGTTCATCAAGTCCTTCCAGGTGCCAGCGCCGGGCCGGCGGGTCGGGGGCCAGGGCAGGGTCTGCACGGGGGCCTCGGAACTGCACTCGCGTGGGGAGGCCGCCAGAGACGTCCCCCTCAGGCGGGGTGGGGGGTGATGGACGGCAGTGGGGGTGTTCGGGGGAGGTGGGTGCGCAGGGCCTGGGGAGGTTGACGGGGGGCGGGGCTGCGTAGCAGGCGGTGGAGCCCCCAGGCCTGACGCCCCCGCCCGCCCCGCAGGCCCTGCCGTACGTGGCTCTGCTCATCGTCATGCTCTTCTTCATCTACGCTGTCATCGGCATGCAGGTGAGGGGCGGGCCGGCCCAGGCCGAAACACGGATCTTGGCCAAACCGGGGGAAGGGGGGTCAGTGGACCCTGGGGAGCCTAAGCAGCAGGTGGGCTGGCCCCGCCATGCTCCCTGCCTCGTCCTTCCTGGCGGCCCAGGGGCTCAGTGCACGACTGGGAAAGGAGGTTGTTTGTGCACCTGCCTGTCCCCAGGTGGCTGCCGTGCTGGAAGCCTGGAGATGATCTAGAAGGAACTTTGGCATACAGATCATACAGGTGGACAGCAGAGGCCAGATCACACCTCTAAGGCCAGACTGAAGCCCGGGTGGCCTCAGTCCACACTCCCCCGAGAGCCTCCCCCACACTTTGGCTCCCCAGGTCTGCTTGCTGCTGGGAAAACGGGTCTACCCGCCTACTTTTCTTTGGCCTGGTCGGACAAACTTCACCCGACCTAGAAAATAATTCCATGTATTTGGCTTCAGGGCTGACGTGGCCCGAAGTGAAGGGGACTTGGGGGAGGCAGGGGTGAAGGCAGTGGTTGACGAGCGCAGGGGACGCTTTTATCCAGGTTCCAAAGTCAGAGCCCTTTGTGATTTGCAGATGTTCGGAAAGATCGCCATGGTGGACGGGACTCAGATAAACCGGAACAACAACTTCCAGACCTTCCCTCAAGCCGTGCTGCTGCTCTTCAGGCATGAGTCCCCCGTGGCCCCCACCCCACCGGCCAGCCCAGCTCTGCCCTGTTCCAGTTGGCATGGAGGCGGGGCTGGCTTCATGGCATGTGACCCGTGCAGTCACACAGGCCCTGCCCTCGGAGCGGTACCCTGCTTGGTTTAATGCTCTGCTGTCGCTGTTTTGTGATAAGCAGCCCGGCATCTGCGTTTTGCACGGGGCCCTCCACCGAGCGGAGCGCCGCACACTCCCCTAATCTCATGCCACCGGAACAGCAGACGGAGGTCAAATGTTCTTTCCTGGACACTTACTTGCCCGTGTGGCTCCCGGAGCAGGGAGAGGCAGAGTGAAGAGCTGGCCCCAGGGGCGAGAGTTGGGGAGCAGGAGGCCAGGAGGAGTGGAGAGGCCAGCGCTTGGCCCACAGGGGATCCGGGCCGTGCGCTTGCTGGCTGCGTAGGAGCTGGGTGGGAGAGGCGAACTAGCCAGCAGTGGGACTCTCCCCCTCCAGACGAGGCCAGGGGACACCTGTGCCCGGGGGTCCTGCTCGGCACAGCCTGTCAAGGGCTCCATGAAGTCACAGCAGCTGCAGCCCTGATGGCCCATGAGAGGAGACCACCATGGGCGGGCAGGGTGCCTCCCGCCACCCACCCCACCCTGCCCTCGACTGCAGACCCAGGGCCGTCCTGGACTGCCTGCCCCCGCAAGGAAGGGAGCCGACCGAAATGAGATTTTATGACACACACAGTGATGGGGAGTTGTGGAGTCAGGCCGAGCTGTGACTAAGGGAGGCGCCTCCCAGCCGGAGGTGGAGGGGGTTGTGTACAGAGCAGCTGGTAGCGGTTACATGAAAAAGCACCCACAGTTCACATACGAGCACTGCTGCTGCGTCGAGACTCCTCTCTCGACAGCTGCACGTGTGCAAGGTGTGAGATCTGAGGGCTGCTTTTGCGACTCAGCCAGAGCGGGTGGTGTCGGGAGAGCTGGGTGCAATTGTGGGGTTTCCTCGGATGACTCTGACTCTGAGGCTGAGGTGACCTCTGACCCTGCCTCCCTCGGTCACACAGTGCTCTCTCTTGCTGTCCCCCTCCAATGACATGAATCCATTTTGCCTCTCTATCCAAGAAACCCCTTTCGTAAGTTTAGCTCCTGCTTGTAGCAACTCTTGAGGCTAGAGCAGAGGGGCTGCAGCACAGAGGGGAAACTGAGGCCCAGCTCTCACTGAGCTACTCAGTGAACCTGGGGTCTGGCCTCCCTATTTCTGGGGAAGCAGCCCCCAGTCTGCTCATCGGTCCACACCGCGGTGCCACCAGGCCGCTGGCCTCCTGGAGGGCGGTGAGAGGCGGTAGGCAACGGGACCTCTCTCCTCCAGGTGTGCGACAGGGGAGGCCTGGCAGGAGATCCTGCTGGCCTGCAGCTATGGCAAGCTGTGTGACCCGGAGTCGGACTACGCCCCGGGGGAGGAGTACACGTGCGGCACCAACTTCGCCTACTACTACTTCATCAGCTTCTACATGCTCTGCGCCTTCCTGGTGAGCCGCCTGCGGGCCTGGGCCGGGGAGGGCTTTGGTGAGCCGAGGCGGGAGGGGGCCCACCTGCCTGGCAGGCTCTGTCCTCCGGCCCCATCTCAGGGACACGGGGGGCTGTAGTTAGGTTGTTTCTCGTTCTGTGAGTGTTGTGAGTGTTTCTTCATGCCCCAGCGGGGTTAGCGAGTTTTTACTGTTCTTTCTTTTTCCCTCTGGTTATCGATTAGTCATCAAGGGGAATTTCATGAGGCTCTGCCCTAAATAGGTGGGGACTTCCTACAAAGCCACTTATGCCTAACTAAGCCTTGGAAGAGAAGGCTGTCCCACCATGAGGAAGCTGAGGCTCTGAAGCAGGGTGCTGCAGGAGCCCCCACTGGGTTAGGAACAGCGCGCCAGGCCAATTTGAGACCGCAGGGTTGTCGGGGATGCCATCTGTTCACGTGGAAGGCAGAGAGCCTGCACTGGGCCCTCGTTCCTGAACTTTTTTCTTTCCTGTATTCACTCAAAAGAGTTGTTTGAGCCTCTGACGTGTGCCAGGCCCTGGGCTTAGGGCAGGGGAAGAAACATGAATGAGACACCGTCCTGGCCCTGAAGGACCTCGTAGGGTACAAGGGAGTTCATGTGTGAGCAAACCTTGCCATTCAAGGGGACACCCAATATTTACAGAAAAGACAAGAGCAGTGACAGGGCCTTGGTCCAGGTGGGGACAAAGGCAGGGACAGCATCTCTCTCAGAGGGGTGTGGGAGGCTAAGTTTGGCGTAGCTTTCAAAGAGGTGCTCAAGCTGGGTTTTGAAGACGGAGCACCAAGCCCCGGCAGAGGGCACTGTTTGTGCAGGAGCGCAGAGGCGGACATGGTGTTGCTTATGTGTGTAGCGCAGGTTGTTCAAAAGGCTGGAACGTAGGGCACATGTAGGGAGAAGCTGTGGAGCCCACGCCCAGTGGCCGCCTCCCAGCTCCCCCACCACCCCTGGGCCCTTGGTTCTCCTCTTGCAGGTCATCAACCTCTTCGTGGCTGTCATCATGGACAACTTTGACTACCTCACTCGGGACTGGTCCATCCTGGGCCCTCATCACCTGGATGAGTTCAAGGCCATCTGGGCAGAGTATGACCCGGAAGCAAAGTGAGTCCCATCTGCAGGCTCTGTGCTGGGCCCTCCCTAAACTGTCCACCCTTCCATCCTAGACCCTGTCCTCGTGTCCCACAGCAAGTCACTCTCCAGATTAATAAGTATGAGTTGGCTTCTTCCCATCTTCATTTATCCAAGGTCCCAAATCAGAGAAGCAGAGCCGCTGAGGGTCGGAAGGGCTGCCACAGCCTCCCAGAGTGGAAACCCCTTTGACTTTACTGGGAAATGGTCATCCAGCTTCTGCTTGGATACTCCTAGGGGTGGGGAACTCAGTACCTCACCAGGCACTCTAGATCCTGGCTACTCAAAGTGTGGTAGCTCATGTGTTAGCACATCCGAGCCTGAATAAAACGCAGCGTCCCGGCCCCACCCAGACTGCATCAGCATCTGCATTGTTATTAACCCGATCCCAGGACATTCGTACGTACACTAAAGCTTGGGAAGCACTGCTCTCCTACATTCTTCCCCAAAAGGTCACGAGCTTGTATTTCACGAATGTTTCCCAGGTATCAGGCACTGCACTAAACACTACGTGTATTATCTCATTTAGTCTTTACAACAACCTATGGCACAGGTCTCCCGATCAGCTTAGTCTCAGATGAGAAAGCAGGTTCAGAGGGGTTAAGTAAGTTGCCCTCGGTCACACAGCTGTGAGAGGTGGCACCAAGATCCAATGCGGGTCTGTCTGGTGCCCTGAGCAGTCATGCTGTGAAGCGCTTACATCCAGGAGATCGAAACCTACCTCCCTCCTGCCACCCCCAAGTCCTAACTCAGCCCGCTGCAGATAGCAGATGTTTAATCTTTTCATAGCCAGCCCGTTTGGAAGTCAATAGGACCTTCCAACACAGTTTTCTCAGACAACACACACCTGCTGCTCTCGCCTTGGTCGTCTCTTCGTCTGACCTTCCTGGTTGCCCAGACTTTTGCTTATTCTGGGGGTCATGGTCCCAATGAAAAAGTGGTTTCCAGCTCTGGAGCAGTCTCTGGAAGTGGGCTTCCACCTCCCTTGACCATACCCTCTACTTCTATTAATAGAGCCCAAGAGCCCCCATTACCTTGACCAGAACCTAAGGAAGGTCTTGTGATGGGGAAATGAGGTCCAGATTCCAGACGCGGAGATCCCATATCCAAGGGAGCGCCCCCCAAAAGAGAGCCCACTCCTGGTGGTGGCAGTAACGAATCCAAACATTGTCTCCTCTTTTAAAAAGGAGCTGAGCTCTCACTCCCTCAACACAGTCGGAAATTAAGGAAGCATCCCCCGTCTCCTGGCTGTCTTCCCCTTCGCCATTTCCGAGCAGGGTGCTGGCGGAGGTCCTGGGTGGGGCTGCCGGGTAAACAAGTCCATGTGGCCTCCTGCAGGGGGAGGATCAAACACCTGGACGTGGTGACCCTGCTGAGAAGGATCCAGCCCCCTCTGGGCTTTGGGAAGTTCTGCCCGCACCGGGTAGCATGTAAGGTAACCGGAGCTGCCAGGGAGGGGCGGCCCCCCAGGAGAGGAAGAGGGGCCACGGGGCAGGGATCCTGGGTCCCCAAGTCCCTCCCTGAGGACCTGAACTCTCAGCAGTGCCCCCCAACTCAGCATTCCACCCCCTGACGAGGGGCAGTCCTGGTCGGCTGGCACTCCCAGCCCTCATGTCCCATCCCCTCCCGGCCCACAGACCGGGTGAGGATGACCTGCCAAGCTTGGCCTGGTCCCAGCTCAGCAGCAAGCCACTGCCTCTCCCCGCACAGCGGCTGGTGGGCATGAACATGCCCCTGAACAGCGACGGCACAGTCACCTTCAACGCCACTCTCTTCGCCCTGGTCCGCACGGCCCTCAAGATCAAGACAGAAGGTGAGGGCCTCCCAGCGTGCGGCCCCCCTTCTCTCGCAGGGTGTTTCTGGCACAGACTCTGCCAGATTCTCAGAGCTAATGGGGAGAAGCAGAGGGAGGTCTCCTGACTACGGCCCAGACTCCTCTTGCCCCTTGGGACTCAGAGGGAGCCTGAGAGTTCTCTGCAGGGCAAAGGCCATGAGGGTCTGTTCCCACACTCTTCAGCTGTGTTGGGTGGAGGGGGAAAGAAAAGTACCAGCACTAGTGCAGAGGTGGGTGGAACGGGCCACAGATGTACCAGTGCTAGCGCAGTGATTAGTGGAACAGGCCCAGAGCAGTGCCAGGGCCAGTGCAGGGGTGGGTGAGCAGGGACAGCTCAGCGCCAGGGCCAGCGCAGGGGTGGGTGAGCAGGGCCAGAGCAGAGCCAGGGCCAGTGCAGGGGTGGGTGAACAGGGCCAGAGCAGTGCCAGTGTTAGCGCAGGGGTGGATGAGCAGGGCCAGAGCAGTGCCAGGGCCAGCACAGGGGTGGGTGAGTAGGGACAGCACAGAGCCAGTGTTAGCACAGGGGTGGATGAGCAGGCCCAGAGCAGAGCCAGTGTTAGCACAGGGGTGTATGAGCAGGGCCAGAGCAGTGCCAGGGCCAGCGCAGGGGTGGGTGAGCAGGGCCAGAGCAGGGCCAGCGCTGGCTCAGGGTTCAGCTCTGGGCAGGAGCAGACGAGGCAGTCGGGTGGCGAGCACGGGGCAGGCTGATGGGAGTCCATACTCGGCTCCACTAAACTCGCAGGTCCTCGCCCACCAGGGAGACAGGCACGGTGGGAGCGGAGGAAGAGGTCAGGTCAGGGTCTCAGTGTTGTCCCCAAGTCCTCGTTCAGGGCTCCGCTGCATCGGGGCCATGCCCACATCAGGACCGTTGCGGGAGTCTGAGACAGCCACGGAGCAGGTTTCCTTAAGAGGGCGAGGTGAGGAAGGCCAGGAGTCACGGAGGAGCGGGACTGAGCCCAGGCAGGCTTCCTGGGGGTATTGGGACAGACCAGAGTGCCTGGGGCGTGGAAGGGTTTTGGGAGAAGAGCAGGAGATGATAGCCTTCAAAGTCAACCACTCGGCACTAGAAGCCGAGGTCTGTGGGGGTGAGTGCGTGACAAGGGCTGGGGTGTCTGGGGGCGGAGATCTCCTGTCCCCATTGCCAGTGCCCAGCACAGGAGCTGCCGCGGCAGGACACCCAGCTGATACCACTGCGTGCGTGACCGGCTCTCTGCGAGTCAGGAAATGCGGGGGCTCATCAAGCGCAGCTGGCCTGGCCCCGGTGACTTTGGGGCCACCCCTGCCTTCCCCTCGCCCCAGGTAACTTTGAGCAGGCCAACGAGGAGCTGAGGGCCATCATCAAGAAGATCTGGAAGAGAACCAGCATGAAGCTCCTGGACCAGGTCATCCCCCCGATTGGAGGTGGGTGCTGACTCGGGAGACCAGGGCCCAGAGGCAGCCGAGAGAAGTGGGCAAGGGGCTTCTCCAAGAGGCCCTGTGGGAACCTGAGAGTGGCCCAGACCCCATGGGCAGCCTCAGGGTGGGCTGTGCCCACTGACCGAGTCTGCAGGATGAAGGATGGCCTGGGTGCCCGGGCCTGGCCACACCTGGGCCCACTCCGAGCCCAGAGTCAGAGCCCCGCCGGCTTCAGGACATCCCTTGTTGGCTCCTCTGCAGATGATGAGGTGACAGTGGGCAAGTTCTACGCCACGTTCCTCATCCAGGAGCACTTCCGGAAGTTCATGAAGCGCCAGGAGGAGTATTACGGGTATCGGCCCAAGAAGGACATCATACAGATCCAGGTAAGGTCCAGGGGACTCCCCTGCTCAGCCAGGTGTCCGGACTCCAGTTCCCTGTCCGTGTCCTCAAGGGGCCGGTGGTGGAGGCATAGAGGGAAGAAGGAGCCCAGGGGAGGGGAAACGAGGTGACAGCTCTGGATAGTGCACGATGGAGGACATCTCGACCTCGAGAGAAGAGCCAGGAGCTCTTCATCTCTGTGCGACAGGACCAAAGAAACTAGGATGAGGTCAAAGGAGAGACGAGTTAGCTGTAAGAGCAGAGTGGTCTCCAAAGAAAGCGGATCCCCCAGGGGTGCTTACAGTGCTCTACCGGCTATGAGAAGAAAACTTTAGAACTTTATGTTTTATCTCATCTGGTTTTTATTTCTAGTGTTCATTGTAATGCACATAATTTATAAATTCCAAAAATATATATGCATCTGGGCCGTGTACTCAAAAATTGACTCAGTTGCCATTTTCATTTTGAAACAGTCTCATACTTCAAAAAATTGCAAGTATAATACAAAATCTTTTTTTTTCTCTGAACGGTTTGAGAGTAACTCCAACATGATGTTCCATCATCCGGAACACTTCGATTCATCTTTGCAGGCATTGTGTGCATTCAAGGCACAGTGTGTATTACAAGGTGTTCTCCTACATAATTCTACATGACCACAGTGCAACCATCAAAATCAGGAAATCAATACTGATACGTTACCACGTCCTAATCCATTTCACGTTTCACCAGTTGTCCCAACAAATGCCCCTTATAGCAAAAGGATCCAATCCAGAATCACACGTTGTATTTAGTTGCCATATCTCTTTAGTCTCTTCCATCCAGAACAGCCCCTCAGTCTTTCCCTGAGACAACCATGACACTTTTGAAGATGACAGGCCAGTGTGTCCCCCAATCTGAGTTTGTCTGGTGTTTCCTCAGGCTAGAGTCTAGATGCATCCTAATATCCCTCTTGGATAGGAACGCCTCAGCAGTGACGCTGTGTTCTCATTGCAAGCTACCAGGTGACACCAATTTTGATTTGTCTCATTGCTGATGGTATGAACTTTGATCAGCTCAAAAAATTATATTGACGGCGTGTACCATCAAGAGAGATCACTTGTCTAGAAGGCTGTACTGAGTAAGAAGCCCTGGAGAGGGCATGAAGTCGCCACCCATGGTGTCGAGAGAAGACTCCTTAGGAACAATTACTGTGTGCACCATCCCAGAGGCCAGAGCAGGACCTGGTGGCCTCACAGAGCCCAGGGACACTGAATGAACCAGAGGGAGAGTGGGCCTGAGCCGGGGCTTCCAGGGAGCCCCGGGTGCGGAGATTTGAAATGAGTGGGCCGTGGAAGCGGTTTTGCTCTCCTCTCCAGGACTGGAGGGGTCACTGGGTCACTTTGCCGTCCCCAGGCCGGACTGCGGACGATCGAGGAGGAGGCAGCCCCCGAGATCCACCGCACCATCTCAGGAGACCTGACAGCCGAGGAGGAGCTGGAGCGAGCCATGGTGGAGGCTGCGATGGAGGAGGGAATATTCCGGGTGAGGGGCGCCATGACAACCCCTAGTGGTCTGGACACAGTGAGCGGCCATGTCCCCAGAGAGGAAGGCCAGGAGCCCAGCCATACGGAGGGGCACGTGGGCTGGACCTCCGTCTCCACTTCTCCACCCACCTCTCTTGGGACTCAGAGTCAGTGACCCAACCTACCCGAGGTGTCACACATAACAGACCCTTTCCCACCTTCCCCTGCCAAGCCTCACCTCTCTGCTCCCCCCTGCAAACCGAGGCAGCATTCCAGCCCCAGAGGCCCCCGGGATCAAGTGCCCCGCCTGCTCCAGTTACGCCAGTCCTCGATCCTCAGCCGGCTAGTGTTTCTCGTAACACTGTAGAGCTGGAAGTTCTTTAATGACCGCCTAGTTACACCTTTTCAGGTTATTCATTAGGAAACGGTGGCCCAAAGGGACAATGTGACGTGTCCGATGTCGCTTAGTGAGTTAGTTTCAGAAGCCAGTTCTGCAGACTCCCAGTTCGGTGCTCTGTCCACGGCACCCCAGCTCCCTCTCTGTGTGTCCGTGTCTCCTGTGTGGTTCCGTAGGCATGTCCTGTCTGCCCCCTCAAATTGGGAACTTCCTGAGGGTGGGGATCCTCTTCCCCGTCTGGTCTCACTGTTCAGTCTTTCTCCTCTGCCCTAGAGGACTCGTCTCCCTGTACCTTCACGTGCTCCCAGCAGCATCATCCCAGGGTGGCAGCCCCCGTACACGCCCCACCCTCGTCCCTCACTCACGGCCCTTCTCCTCTCCCCTAGAGGACCGGAGGCCTGTTTGGCCAGGTGGACAACTTCATCGAAAGGACCAACTCCCTGCCCCCCGTCATGGCCAGCCAGAGACCCCTCCAGTTTGCCGAGATAGAGATGGAAGAGCTGGAGTCACCTGTCTTCTTGGAGGACTTCCCTCAAGATGCACGCGCTAACCCTCTGGCTCGTGCCAATACCAACAATGCCAACGCCAATGTTGCCTGTGGCAACAGCAACCATAGCAACGACCAGGTGTTTTCCAGGTAGCGGTGGCAACTGGCAACTGCCAGCTCTGGCGTAGGGGTACTGGAATAAGACTGGGAGGACGTTAGCAGGTTCCAGGCTGTACTGGAAGGGGGTGACCCGAAATTGCAGGTGTCCTTTGTTTGCCTTTGCGCCCTTTGGAAATCCATCCTGTACCTTGATGCAAGAGGCAGGCCTGCCCTGCAGAGACTCCCTTGGCCAGCAGGGGGCAGCCTCATGTCAGCACTGGCCCCGGTGCTGAGAGGTTCTTTTATCCCATCACCTACAGCAGGTCTGGGAGCTGAGATGTGTTGAACACGTTATAGGTTAGAGGCAGAGGGCCTTCAGTGACAGCACAGACTACAGAAAACTGTGGACAGTCAGGTTCAGTTGCTGGATTTGGGTTCCAAGGAGATCCGCTGCTCTGGGTGGTTCCCATCTCGCCATCCTCAGACTGTAGACTAAATATAATCTGCGATTACGTAAGTGTCATAAAAAAACAGCAGGATGAAGGGGAGAGCTTCTCAGAAATCCTAAACTAGGGGCTGGGCTCCAAGCAGAGCTTCTGTTCTAGACAGGAGGCCAGCTGACTGGAAGTCTCTTTAGCCTGGAAAGGCTAAGTCTCCGGCCTCAGGCATGGGCAGGACAGGGCAGAGGCCAGGGGAGCAGCTACTCCCTGTGGCCAGGGCTGCCTACACCACCTCCAGTCAGAGACCCCTTGAATTCGGCCTATGGTCCTGAACGGCGCCTGCGCCTGCGGGTCACCGTGGTGCGAGGTGCCGTGGACATACAGAAGCACCAGCCTGGGCTGCTCATTGGAAACATCTAGGGAGTTTTCAAAAATCCCAATCAGGTTCTCACTGTGGACTCTGGGGTGGGACACAGCCGCCACCGTCTTTAAAGCTCCCCAGGCGGCTGGGCGCGGTGGCTCACGCCTGTAATCCTAGCACTCTGGGAGGCCGAGGCGGGTGGATCGCTCAAGGTCAGGAGTTCGAGACCAGCCTGAGCAAGAGCGAGACCCCGTCTCTAGTAAAAATAGAAAGAAATTAATTGGAAAAACTAAAAATATATAGAAAAAATTAGCCGGGCATGGTAGCCCATGCCTGTAGTCCCAGCTACTCGGGAGGCTGAGGCAGGAGGATCGCTTGAGCCCAGGAGTTTGAGGTTGCTGTGAGCTAGGATGACGCCACGGCACTCACTCTAGCCAGGGCAACAGAGTGAGACTCTGTCTCAAAAAAAAAAAAAAAAAAGAAGCTCCCCAGGAGATCCTCTGTACAACCGAGGTTGGAAGGAGTGTCCCAAAGGTTGTGAGGCGCAGCTGGGCCTGGACGAGGAACGGAACGTAGAAAGTGGAGAGCAGCGCAGCGTGGAGACGGGCCTGCACTCGGCTCATTCCCCCTGGAGTCGGGCTGGCTGGGGCAGGGCGGTGGGAGCGTCAGGCCCGGAGTCAAGACCCCTGGCCCACGTTGGGTCCAGACCCTGAGGGGAAAGGATATCTGGAGCCACAGAGGGGCAGGGATGGCAGGAGGCCAGCAGCCTGCCCTGGTTCACCCAGCCTTGCTTCCATTTCAGTGTCCGTTATGAGACGGAGTCCCCGGGAGAGACGGAGACGCCCGCCGCCGGAGGAGGAGCCCTCGGCCAAGGCCACAGGGGGCTGGGTCAGTCCCTTCTGCGCACCAAGAGGCCGAGTCTTCTCCTGCAGGGATTGGGGAGCCCGTCTTTTCTTACAGTCTGGGGACCTGCTGGGAGGGCTGGCTGGGGGACCTGTTGGGCCGTGGCATGGGAGAGCCGTCAGGGCCAGTTCCTCGTCCAGGCGGAGGAGAAGGCGCTGTCTAGGTGGCTGAGTGGGGTGGGAGGGGAAGCGTGCACACTCTAAAAGGGCCCCCTGCAGGCCTGCTGGGAAGCTCACCCTGCACCCCATGCCGGCCCCAACGCGGGAGTCCTCCCTGCCCTAGGCAGCCTCCGGACACACCGACACCTTGGCTCTGGGGCCTTTCAGTAGACGGTCTTACGCTCTCCCGGTAGGTCCTAGCCACTGCGTGACAGTGAGAGCCCAAGGATGCCGGGGTTCACTAAGGATGCTTTCCCCACTCCCCCAGACACGCACATACACACACTTCCATGTGCACACACACAAGGACACACTGAGGGACAGCTTGGTCAGACCCCCTGGCCTTGATCCCCTCTCCCAAACCCGTAAGAACAGAGACCAGAGCCAGCAGAGTTGGGGCAGTCCTGGCTGGCCTGGAGGTGTCCACCCTCTAAGACACCTTCTGCAGTGCTGAGCACCTCTGAGAGTTCACGGAGCGTGGCTGGCCGGCCAGGCAGGGCTCCGTGGACACAGGGCTCCTGGCAGGAGTCAGCAGCCCCTCTTATCCTCACTGCATCTTGCCCGCAGGACCCCACAGCAAACCCTGTGTGGAAAAGTTGAAGGGACAGCTGACCCAGAGGGTAACGCCCGGAGGCCAGGCATCTCCTGCCCACCACCAGGTAACAGGGGCAGAGGCCTGGGAGGAAAGTCCGTACAGAGACCCCACCTGGCCTGATGCTTGCGGTGGGGCCGTGGCAGGGGAAGGGTGGGGCAGCCACGTGTCTGTCGGTACAGAGGGACTGGACTCCCTTTCCGTGGGTCTTGCTTGAGGCTCCCTCAGATGAGCTGGGGTTTTGCTGGGTCCATGGCTTCCAGCATTCCTGTGGCGGTCTTTGCCTTTCTGCATTTGGAACAGGGCCCCAGGCCTGAGGAGAGAAGGAGTTCCACACCAGGGTCTCTGCAGGAGGAGACACCCCATGGCAGGAGCACCAGGGAGGACACTTCCAGGTGCCCAGCCCCAGCTACGGCCCTGCTGATCCAAGAGGTGAGCCAGGAGCTGGGACACAGCAGTGGGCTGCATTGAGGGGTGGCTCTGTGATGGCCTGGCATGGACAGCGGGTAGGGCCCAGGAAGACCCTAGCCAGCCTCCTCTCTTCCCTGCAGGCTCTGGTTCGAGGGGGCCTGGGCACCTTGGCTGCTGATGCTGACTTCGTCATGGCAACAGGCCACGCCCTGGCAGATGCCTGCTGGATGGAACCAGAAGAAGTGGAGGTTGCAGCAACAGAGCTACTGAAGGGCCGAGAGTCCCGAGAGGGCACGGCCAGTGCCCTGCGGTCCTCCCTGGACAGCCTCGACCAGCATCAGGGCTCCCGGGAGACCCTCATTGCCCCCAGGCTATGAAGCCCACACAGCATCGGTGTGGGCTTAGCGCTAGCATGACCGGGGGGTGGGGGTGCTGGCGAGAAGGGCCAGTGCACCGCGGCAGCCTCCTCCCCCAGCAGCTAGATGCACGGGCTGAGTAGAGGTGTCAGGACCCCCTCAAAAAACCAGGAGGAAGTAAATGGACAGGCCCTTCCCTCACCAGCAAGAGGCACCATTGGAGGAGCTGCTAATGTCATTCAGAAAGGCCTGGTTGGTGCCAGTGTCTGTCTGGCCTAGGGCCACTCCCACCAACGGGACATTAAAGCCTCCAGGCCTGTGACACTGGCACCTCTGCTTGTCTGCTCTTTTGGACTCTTCCACACTTAGTCTCCCCCGCAGTCCCTTCCCCAGCAGCCTTGCCCATGAGCTGGGGAGCCCGGGCCGAGGAGACCAGGGGGCCTTCTGGATTCTTATTCTGCGATGCAGACAGACCTGCCGTGGCGAGCGTGGGTTCTCCTGCAAGGCCGTTACCAGGTCCACCGACTGGGCCGAGCAGCCCACGGCAGGCTCACCACCCAGCATCACCTGCTCCGCCCTGTCTGTCCAGGCGTGGGAGGAAAGGAGGAAGAGCTCTGCCTGGCAGGTGACAAGCTGGACTCCACCGTGCAGCTCCCACCTGCAGCCACTCGCACTGTCTCCCACTCCATTCACTCGTCTCTAGGGAAGACAGGATTATACGGAGCATACGTGTGCGCTGTAAAATTCTGTAAAAGGGTGTTTTTGTTTATGAGGGACCTGAGCATCTTCTATTAATACCTACCATGTATAGAATGCTAACTATATGGCAGGCCCTGTTCCAGGGGTTTTGCATATATTAATTTATTTAATCCTCTTAACAATTAAGAAAGGTATCATCATCCTCACTTTGCAAAAATGACTCAGAGAATAAGTAATTTGCCTAAGGCCACACAGCTGGTAGGAGAGCCCAGGTGAGTGTCTAACCAGGCGGTTTAGCGTAGATTCCATGTCCTTAACTGCTATTCTGTTTATATGTGGAAATCTGTTCCTCCCAGCCTGCCTGACAGATGCGTATGTGCACATAGGCTCTGAGAAACTTTCCTGTCCACTCTGTCTTCCCCCTATGGAAAAGTTCAGGCAGTTTCCCTTGCAACATACAAGATGTTCTAATTTATCAGAATGTGCAAAATCCACCTCTACTCCCAGCTTCGCTTGGAACGACGGGCGGCTTTCCCCTCACGGCACTGGCGGGCTGCTCAAGTAGAGCCCCGAAGGGAAAATTGTGGAAACACGAGGGTTGTGGTGGGAGTGGGGGGAGGGGGCAGATTTCGTGTGAGACAGACACGCCCTCCCTTCAGCAGGGCCACCCGACAGAGACAGGGTGCCCCCAGGAGCAGGCGGGGCCACCTTCTGTCACCTGAGAGCCCTGGCCAAGGGCAGTGTCTGCTGGACCCATATATGAGTTCCTGACAGTTCCCTGCAGATTTGGGGCCCAGCTGCTGGGTGGGGAATCTGCCAGAAGGGGCGGGGGTGTGGCTGGCGAGAGGCCTGGGCACAAAGCCATGAGCTGGGGCCATGGGCAGCAGAGGAGCCCTCCATCTGGAAGGTGCGGAGCTCAGATGGGGGTCTCTGCTCCAGGCCAGCCTCAGAGAAGGGAGGAGCCCCCTGGCTCTGGCCGGGCTGTATTTCCAGGCCTTGCTCTGGGCGGGGCTTGGTGGCTGCTGCTGAGCTGCCTCTGCTGGGACTCCTGCAGGAGGGATGTGGCTACGTCCACAAGGTGTCTGAGAGCAGAGCCCTGGGAGCCAGACTCCCTGGGATCCGAATCCCATTCCCCCACCTCCGCGCTGTGTGATGGCCAAGCAGGTCCATAACCCTTTCAAGGTCTGCTTCTCCCTCTGTAAATGGGGGAGTATTGCCTACTTCTGGAGTTGTGAGATACGAATGTTACGACGTAAGGACCCGGCACTTGGTAAGAGGCTGTTTTGATTCGTCAGATACCGGGTGGTGAGAGGGCCAGACCTCTAGGACGGGAGGAAGCCGACCCGGGGGGGAGCTGGGCAGCAGCAACCCTGAGCCCACACACCCCAGGCCGGGCCGAGTCCTCTCACAGGCCCTGCCAGCTCTCACCAACGGCCACGGATCTGGACGCCGCTCTGGCCTCAGGCCACTTACTAAGATACTGCCGACGCAAAGCAGGCCTTGACCCCAACCTTTGCTTCAAGGGTCTTGCCCCCCATTCTGGCATCGGATCCCAGCGACATGTCACTCCTGCCTTGAGGCTAACAGCCCACAGTGCCAGGTGACTCCGCCACCCCACCAGCGGTTGCCCTGCCATTTTACTGGCCAGGCAACCCCGGGCCAAGATCCCACAGCCAGCGAGTGGCGAAGCGAGGTCGTGCCCTCAAGCTTTCTATGAATAATTCCATTGCGTCCTTCCTTGCATTACACAGGGCGCCACTAAACGGAACTCAAAGTCCAGTTGAGGAAGCCCAGGCACAGAGGCATTTAAAAAAGAAATGGTCATAAATACAAGGGAAAAATAACAATTCTGGTGCTGAATACCAGTTAAAATGCTGGAGTTATCAGTTGTACCTTGATGGTCACTGGGCTTTCGAGGGTTCAGAGGAGGGAGACTTGCCTGGTGTTAGTTTAAAGTCAAGTGAACAGAAGAGGAGATTCCATGGTGGCGAGAAAGGAAACCAAGGCCCAGGGAAGGAAAGAGCCATAAATGCCCCACGTCACTGAGCCCAGGGGAGGAGCCGGGACGAGACCCCGGCTGCCCCATCCAGGCTTCAGAAAGGCTCCCGTGAAACGCACAGGGCGCAGCAAAGGGAAGCCCCGGGCTGGGGGAAAACCCAGTCCCATTTCTAGTTGTGTGTTCTTTTAAAAATGCCTCTGCCCTTTGGTCTTCTAATCTGCAGAACAATAATAGCTAACATTCGTTGAGCCCAGCTCAGTTAATTAAAATTAAAAATTAGAGTGCATTGCCTTTCATGCCTCACTTGATCTTTGCAGCACTGCCCATAAAATAGGTACTATTGTTAATCTGATGTAATGATGAGAAAGCTGGGGCTCGGAAAGGCTGAGTGAATTACTCAAAGTCACTTGGCCATGAAATGGTGAAGCCAGGTGCCTAAGAGGAGCCTGGACACTATTAAGCTGCTTACTTCTTGTGTTATTGTGAAGATCACGTGATGATCTTCCCCTACACCCCAGTCCCCACCCCATCCTCTACTGATCTGGCCCAGGATCCTCTGCACACCCTGCCAAGCACCAGCCCAACCACACTCAACTGTCCCTCCCTGCACAGCCCAAGCGCGCTGGGGCTTCCACCAACGGTGCCTGTCTGCACCCAGCAAACTCCTGCTCTTATCTCAGCCTGGCAGCCTTCTCTGATGGCCCAAGTAAACTTAGTTGCTACTTCCTTAGTGTGCTTATAGCACTTGATACTTTTTTATGGCATTTATTACACTGTATCCTAATGAAGGGCTCGCAATTTGTTTTTCCCAAGTACACTGTGAGTTTCTTAAGGGCAGGGACTGAGTCTTTATCAACTTTGTATCTACAGCAAGGAAAAAAGGAAGGAAGGGAGGGAGAAGGGAAGCAGGGAGGACAGGAGAATGTAAGAGGCTGCTAAATAATGTGCATTAGATTGAATCGTTTGAAATTGCCAATATTCTATGCCTTTTGATTTACAAAATGGCAATTTTATAACATTTAACCTAGTAGAACGAGAGTAGGATTCCCCACTATGCAGCCCCACCCAAGTACCACCGCTCCCCGCTAGTAGTCCCTGTTCCCAGCCTTTTGGTTCCAACGGTTCACATGTGTCCTGACCACACAAGCTGGTTTGGATGGGGGCTCACTGAGGTGGGCAGCCTGTGCTGGGTGGTTCTGGGGCAGCGTGCAGGCTGAAACTGCTGGGGGCTTCTGCACCTGTTATCATTGAAATGGCTCTCAGTGACCTCTGAGGGGGGAGGCGGAGGCTCGCTCAGACTGATGAGGAGGAGCAGTGTGCAGGTGGGGGCCCAGCCGCCCCAGTGCCGGCCACCATCAGAGGCTGACTGTCTCTCCAGGAAGACCTCCTCTCTCCACTGCACCCAGGTCTTGTCCTCTTGTCTTGGGGCTTCACCTCCCTCAACTCCTGGGCCCCCATCTCTTCTTTCCCCTTTGCCAGCCCAAGGGACCCTTGTCAGTTGTGGGGGATGGGAGGCGGATGATGGCCTCTTCCCCTGGGTTCTTTCTAATTTCGGTTGTGACTTAAAGTCTTTGCACCACCCAGTCCTGGCCTTCTATGTGGATCCTCCAACTTCGTTTGGAACTTAAAGAGGAAAGAAAGTTATTTTCACACTTCTCTGCATCTTCACTAGGCCTGCCCACAGTCCCTAATTCTCGCCAAAGAAAAGAGCCTCCTCTGTCTACTGGTACAAGTGTCAGGAAATGCAGGAGTTGAGGGGAGGACACAGATTAACTTTTCGAGAGTTGTTTCACTGCAGGCCAAGGTGGCTGTCTTAGTCAAAAAGACCTTTGAAATGCTCCTAAAAAACATCCCATGAGATTCAGCGCACATACTGCCTGGGCGCTGTCCCTTAAAACCCTTAGTCTACTTGCATTTCTGGAGAGCTGGCACTTTTATTTATTTATTTGTTTGTTTGTTTATTTATCCATTCATTCATTCATTTAGAGATGGGGTCTTGCTCTGTTGCCCAGGCAGGAGTGCAGTGGCACAATCATAGCTCACAGCAGTCTCAAACTCCTGGGCTCAAGTGATCCTCTATCATTAGCCTCCCATGTAACTGGGATTACAGTCAGGTACCACTATACCCAGCTAACTTTCTTTTTTCTTTAGAGACAGGGTCTTGCTATGTTGCCCAGGCTGGTCTCAAACGCCTGGGCTCAAGTGATCCTCCCACCTTGGCCTCCCAAAGTGCTGGGATTACAGGCATGAGCCACTGCACCCAGCAAGAGCTGGCACTTTAGAGGCTAACCTCATATGATTCCCCCTCCCCCCATGCTAGGGGGATAGGAGAGGGGTCTCCAACCTGTCTCCTATCCCCCTAGTTTTTAAAGTGTTAAATGCTCATTTGCTGTCAGTTCGCTCTGCAGTTTCTGGCCAAAGCAAACACCTACTAAAATCGAAGAAAATGATGCATCCTTGGGGACTGAGAATCAATAGCTCCCAGGCCGGGGCAGGCGTGGTGGTGGTGGTGGCTGTAACTTAATCAGAGAAGAGGGACTCACAAGGGTGGCATCTCACAAAGGAGAGGGACGGCTCCCCAGCTAGGACTGCCAGGAGGCTTCTTTTTCATTACCAGGTCTCAGGAGGGCTC